TTTTGGGTGATTCTACAAAATCTAAATGTGGGAAAATCATATACTGTATGGTGATATACACACACACACACACATATATATATATATATAGGCTATATATATAGGCTATATATATATATATATATATATATATATATATATATATATATATATATATATATATATATATATATATATATATATATATATATATAGAGTATATATATTGTATAAAGATTATTTGTAATTCAAAGAATGATCTATTCATAACATCTTAAACCTCTTTACCAAACAATCTTCATAATGTTGCACTTGCAGCATTAGCTTACCTGGGAACCAGTCATCAGTCGGATTAATCAGAGTGTAACCATTGGATAGCTGAATCATCTGCTGTGAGGAAGCCTCATTCCCCACTACAGAAGATTCTAGGTACTTGCGCCCTATGCTGGTAATGAGCTGTTCTACTGTTATATCTTGATTGGCATCTTTAAGATTCATCACTAGTGATGGTACACTGAATGTTGCTTTACTTTGTATGCTCTGTAAAAATCCAAATTGAAGCAGTTCATAAATAAATTAAATACAAATACTGTACAGTAATATCCTTATCTATATTAAGCAAAATTAATTTGGATTTGAGTACCCTTGTATTGTTTTCTTGAAGGATGATGAATTTTAATCTTTCATTCTCAGAGAAAATAGATCTGCTGTTCTCAGTCTCACACAAAAGAAGGGGCATTTCGTTTAATAAATCTTTTATCCTGCAAACAAGCATTCCCCCACTTTTGTTATGTGTGTGTGTGTGTGTGTGTGTGTGTGTGTGTGTGTGTGTGTGTGTAATAATAATAATAATAATAATAATAATAATAATAAACGGTTTATTAATAGAGTTGCAGCCCGTGGTTGAAAATATACAGACTTACATTTGATTTAGACATAATGATATAATATGCATTGAATACATTTACAGGGCTGTACAGTACATAAATCAGGAGTTGTTTATTATTTTAACAATAGATGGGATGGTGCCGTTCTTATATCTATCGGTGTGGGCTCTTATGGGCTGAATTTTGGTGTGTGTGTGTGTGTGTGTGTTACTTGTCCAAGTAATTTGACTATACTATACTCCTAACCTTTCTCCCTTGTATTTACTTTTTTCCCTAAACTGCAGGTAGTCTTCATTCTCTGCATCTTTCATTGTTTAAAATTTTCTGGTGGAAGTGAAAGGCAATTTTTAATTGACATGACGCAGGAGCAGTAATTACCTTATCTCCCTGGAGGGCCAGCTTCAGTTGATGTTTGTCTGTTCCTACCAGCAGGGTACAGTGATGATATGCTGATTCACGACCCAACTTTGCCGCTGATCCAGACACCTAAAAGGAATATAGGTTATTATTCAGTTTAGCACATCTTCAAATCGCTTAGAAGAACTTATGCCCTGTACTTTTAAGCAATTTCTACATCATATGTACATTCCTCAACTCTGGAAGCCTCTTGGAAACATGTTTCTTTCACAAAAATTGCAAAAGTGAGGAATGCCTAAGAAATTAGATCAATAAATCTCCACCCGTCATTTCTTGTCCCACTGTGAGCTGTCTGGAGCCGTGCGGCGTGTCACACGGCCTGCTTCTGCTAGGGTTAGGGCCCCCCGTAGGAGTTAGGTTAGGTTAATTTAGTGAAAGTTAGGGGTCTAGATGTTTGGTTTCTAACGTATCTGGATGTATTTTGTTCAAATCTCACCTTTTTTTTATGGAAAATAGCCATTTTTGATCTAGGATTACCTGCATTTTCTTTTCAACGATGCATTCCCAGGGAAACGAAGGCAGATCTGAACAAAACACATCAGAAATCAGACATCTTGTGGAAAAATTTGAGGGTGTGCTAAAACGAATAATTACCAGAATATACTGTATGCAATACATCTTCATCACACTCACTTTGCTAAGTCTATAGTACGTTTTTTCTCAGCTGAGAAAAGATGCCCCACCCCCTTCTCAAGAATTACAGCTAAATAGCGGTTTCAAACCTGTCCGATTTAGTCCTGAAGTAATGATGCATTTCTAAATGAGTTTATTCATAATCGTTGGAATGACCGTTTCTGAAAAGAAAGATATTTAGCTAAATTATATAAAGATACACACATTCATTATATCAAACATAAGTACAGTATAGTCTCAGTTTACGCAGATTTTTCATTTGCGGTTGGTCATTTACACGGCACCTGTCCAGACGCGCCAATTATTAGTTACGCGGTACATTCCTGAATTTACGCGGGAAGCGGCGCGGACAAGCTGCGCGCTAGGTCGCTCTTATGTCACCGCTGACTAAATGACGTTTCGGACTGTGATTGGGCCACGCATCCTTACCACCCACGCATCCCCTACGCCACAAGCTGTGATTGGTCTATTTAACCTTGCTTGCCCAGTCAACAAAACATTACAGAGTTCTTCACCCACCACCCACCACAGCCAGCCCAAGTCAGTGACAGTGAGGATATGGACTTTGAGGGGTTTGACAAGGAGGCCCTGCTAGCCTCTGTGGTGGATCGTGATATAGGTGATACAAATGATACAGGTGAGGGCCAATAATCTGCCCTCTGCCTCGGAACCAACCCCCCATCCCCGTGTGCCCAGCCATCTCTTCTACTAATATAAGTGTTAAAAAACCTAATATTATTGATATTTCTCTTAAATATTAATTGTGTGTGCATACCATCATAAAATTAAGATGTTAGTTTTACTACAACGTACGCATTGTGTCGGAAAAAGGGTAGTCTGGCAGTCGGCCCAGTCTCTATTTCAATTACTAATCCCACATGTTCTGTTATTTTGTTTACGCGTTTCGCGTTATACGCGGACCTCCCTGGGTTTAATTGACCGCATAAAATGGGACTACTGTACGTAGGAAGTTTATCAGAAGTATTATACTTGAATTAACTGTTTAACTCTGGTGGCAAGTTTATGCTTTCTGAGGATGCATTTAATATACAGTGGTCCCTTGGATAACGAATGGTTCGGTTAACGAAATTTCGGTTAACGAATTACCTTCCATAAGAATCTTCAATTCGGTTAACGAACAAAAATTCGATTAACGAAATCCTTACAAACATCACGTTTTGTTGTGAGCATCAGCTGATGGGCTAGTCTGCCAATTCAGTAATCTGTTCTGTAAACATTCGTTTCCAGTGGAGTAAACATCAAGAAAATTGTGCTCTTTAATATTTGTGCATTTTTTATATTAAAATTATTGGTCATTCTAAAATTTAGCCATCCAAGCTCCGTCTACATAAAGTTTTTCAACTATTATTTTTGGCTCGATATATGTAACTTTATTCATTTATTGAAACTCATTTACATGCATACACTGTCCTAAGAGCAAAGCTGTATTGTACATGTAATCAAAATAATGTACAAAATGAATACCTGTACTAAAATTTTAGTCTAGTGCAAACTATTGCATGTTTACATTCAAATTAATCACTATCGTATAAGAATTCCAGCAATGTAAATTATATTCTCCCCGATCACTTCTATGAAATTTTATAAGCAAAAAACAAAAACTCAATCTAAAGGAAATAAATAAACAAATAAATACTTCACTAGACCTTCAGAGCTAACTATCAAACATGTCACTGTCACCCCTCCCTCCCTCCCTACCCCCCACCCTCCCAGCAAAGGTTTGGTGGTTTTCAGTAGGCTTTAAGTTTTTATCATATAATATCACAAACTAAAGTTAGAAGAATATACCTATAATTTGCATTGCTGGAATCCTTGCAAGACAGTGAATAATTTGAATATAAATGTCATATATTTTGCACGAGATAAAAAATTTTGTACATTAGTACATTTTATAATGTAAAGTTTTTCAACTGTATTTTTGGGTAGATTTACATTAATTTCCTCATTTATTTTCATTCATTTACATGCACACACCATACTAAAATAAAAGTAAAAGAAAAAGCGCAAACCTGTAGTGTACATGTACTAACGGTACTAAAATTGTTATGTCTAGTGCAAATTATAGCTTGTTTATATTCAAATTAATCAGTATCGTATAAGAATTCCAGCATATTCTCCCCGATCACTTGTATGAAATTTTATAAGCAAAAAACAAAAACTCAATCTCAAGGACATAAATAAATAAATAAATAAATACTGTACTTCACTAGACCTCTCAACGCCAACTCTCAAACTATTGTAGTGGATTCCTCCCATACAAGTGCCGTTTGTCGCTGAGTAGCCGAACCTTCTTGAATTCCCCAGCCTACGCCTCCAGCGCCGCCTACGGAGCGGGGGTCAACTATCTACCCACGCCTACCCCCGCCTTATAAGACCTGACACCGCTGTGACGAGCCCTCTTTCTACCCATTGCCACCAGCAAGCAACACCTCCTCCTCTCCCGCTCCAGCCTGGCGGCTCCCGCTCCTGCCGACGACCTTGGCGTCCCTCAAGCTGCGTGTCCTCCTCTTGGCACCCTCACCGATCCCACTCTCTCTACTCAACGCTTGTTACCATGCTGCCTACCCAGCAACAAGCTGCATTGTACATCCAATACAATATGTATACAGTGAGCACATTGTGAGTTTCCTTTCTCCATCCCATCCTGAGTGTGAACCAATATCTCATAACACCACACTATCACCTCACCCCCCCTCCGTCTGTCCCTCCCTCCCTCCCTCTCCCCCATCTGCCCAGCCAGGGTTTTAGGCTTACAGTTTTTATCTTATATAATATCTCAGACATATAATATCTCAGACTAAAGTTAGGAGAATATAATTTGCATTGCTGGAATCCTTGCAAGACAGCGAATAATTTGAATATAAATGTCATATATTTTGCACAAGAGATAAAAATTAATCACCTGTATCACATTACAGTAGTGATTTAAGAGTAAGAGTGTGTGTATGTGTATATATATATATATATATATATATATATATATATATATATATATATATATATATATATATATATATATATATATATATATATATATATATATATATATATATATATATATATATATATATATATATATATATATATATATATATATATATATATATATATATATATATATATATATATATATATATATATATATATATATATATATATATATATATATATATATATATATATATATATATATATATATATATATATATATATATATATATATATATATATATATATATATATATATATATATATATATATATATATATATATAATTTTTATTTTTATGGGGTGAAAGGAGGCAGGGGAAAGTAACAAGTGTATATTATCTATTTCTTATGGGAAAAATTTATTCAGTTAATGTTGTTTCCATTAATGTTGTGGTTTACAAGAACATATCCATGACGTAATGTGAGGACTTTCTGCGCCCCTCTACTTTAACAATGAAGGTCTTTAAGCATGTAACAAAGTTAGTAATACGTGTACTGTACACTAGTCCAACAGCATCAAAAATTTTGAGAGATAGAACTCTCTCTGTATGTCTGATGTTAGGACCTAGGTGGCCAAAAACTGCTTTATCACCTGATCGAAGGTTTCCTCTTGGTTCTACTAATGAGATGGGAAATGCAAGCACCTCATGTCAAAGAATCTCATTCAAGTTCACACTTTTGCTAGCCTCATATGCTTTTATGAAACACTGCAGGGCTGACCTGTCTGCTTTTCATTTCCTCTGATTAGGAACCAAAGTTTTTGAAAAGTTCTTTCACAGTGGGATACCGTAACTTGATGATTCTACCCTCACACGGAATAATTCGTTCTTCCACAAACTTATGTACGTGCGCCAGGCCTTTTTGCTTTGCATTAGAAGATCCTCCTCTATCTCTTTGGTGACAAAATTATTATTATTTTTTATTTATTTATTTTTTTTTACGGGAATTAGCCCACCCGGGCACAGATCAAACGAACCACAACGGGGCATGGGGGGCGAAAAAATAGGAACAGAAAGAATTTGAAAATAGAGAAGAAAAAGGTTATACACTGAGTTAATCTACACCACGAAGATGCCGGAAAACCAGCTTTTTAAAGTGAGACAGATTGTATAAGTATGGAAACACAGAAGAAGGCAGAGCATTCCACAGTTTGGCTGTATGAGGAAAAAAGGATGTACTATAACGGGTTATTCTCGTGTGACCGACATCCACAGAGAAACGGTGGGCACTGCGGGAAAGACGTGTGGTACGAGCCCATGGCCTTGCCGGCGGAACACAGGATGCCAAATCCACCGCACATTGCCCGTTAAAGTACCTGTAAAAGAGAGAGAGTGAAGCAACATTGCGGCGAAGAAAAGGGGAAGAGATATTGTCGACTAAAGGAGGAGAGTTAATAAGACGAAATGCCTTTGAGTCCACCCTAAC